AAATATAGATAATTACAAGCTCATGTTCTTATTGTTGAAAAAAAAACAATCATAGAAGTCAGTATATAAAAAAATGTTTAATTAATAAATTAATTATAAACAWTAATTTGTATAGAATCGTAAAAGGTGGAATATAAAACTTTTGGTCATTTTATTTTCTAATAATATAATTTGAAGAATTTTTCTTTAATAATTTTAATTATAATATAAAATTAAATCAATAAAATAATTTAGTTTTAGTTAAAAAAATTCAACATATACAACAAAACGTCAGCCCTAAACAAATATTTAATAAACAAACAAAATATTAAAAAAAATAAAATAAAGGACCCATATTAGGTTGAAATAATTTAAAAATAAAAATATTAAAATACCTATTTACTTTTTTATTAATATATAATTTTTTCCTTTACTTTTAATTTATTTATTTACAAAATATATCATTAACAATTAACTATAATAGTATATTTTAAAAATAATTATAAATAGTACATTTTATTATTATTTTTTAAAATAATTATATTTAAAATATTTTACGTGAAATTATATAAAATTTAAGTTACCTTATAATTAAAAAAAATTTATTCGTCCTGGTAATGCACTAGTATATATATATTCCTTATGTAAACATAAAACATTTATTATATTATTTATTATTTAATATCCCATAAAATCAAACATTTATGAAGGCATTTATTATTCTTGATTGGTGTGAAACCTTTTCCTTTCCCCATTTTTGTTTCCCAAAGCAACCTTCCTATTCCAAACCCTAATTCTAATTATTACATTTCTCTTTCCTCTACCTTCTGGTGCCTCTCTCTTGCTCCCTTATTCATTTTTCACTATTTTTCTTTCTTCATTCTTCTTCCTCCTCTCTTCTTCTTCTCCTTCCTTTCTTTCTTCATTTCTTCTTCTCCTTATTTTATTTCTTCTTCGTTCTTCTTCTTCATTCTACTTCTCCTTTCTTCTTCTTCCCGCCGACCGTTCCCGCCAATCAATACCGTTTTTTCTTCTTGTAGATGACGCTACCGCAAACTGCTGAAAACATTTTCTCCTGTCGTATGCCGCTGAAAAAATGACCACAGATCTTCGTCACTGTAAATAACACCGTTGCCCTAGTATTTTTTCTATTTATGCGGCATGTATGTGAAACTGCAAACCGAACCGATTAAACCGTCGGTTTGCAGTTTGGTTTGATGCGGTTTCTACACTCACTTCGGTTCGACGCGGTTTTCATTTATTCATTTTTTAAAAATCGGTTTTGGTTTCGGTTTGGCTCTCAAATTGAACCAAACCGAACTGTGAACACCCCTAGAATCTTCCAAGGCATAGGTGCCTACCCGAACCACTTTAGTGACTTTGTATAGGCCCTCCCATGTCGGCCCGTGAATCCCGCTGGTCGGGTCTTTGGTATTARGTATGACTTTCCTTAGGATAAAATTGCCTTCTTTGAAGTTACGCTTCTTAACCTTTGAGTCGTAATATCGAGTGATCCGATTTTTGTACTCGACCGTTCATAGTCGTGCTACTTCTCGATGTTCTTCTAGTAGATCGAGGTTAAGCTGTATAGGCTTGTCATTTTCAGGTAGACTGAATTGTTCTACCCTTGGGGAAGGAAGATCGATTTCCACTGCCACTACTACCTCAGAACCAAACGATAATGAGAATGGGGTCTTGCCAGTTTTAGGCTACTATTATGTTTGTTAATGGTTCTGGCGGCTGCCTAGAAACTGTTGCAAACCGTTGATATTTGTCGCACTTTTGCAAACCGCTGACATTTGTCGCACTTTCTCGTAAATTGTGTTGCATCGCTTAGCAGTAAAGTGGAAGTTGTTTGTAAACTTACAAATAATTGATTATGTTCTCCTTACATACATGGAACACCATCAATTATGTTCTCCTTCTATATGTCTGGTTCAAAATCTCATTTAGTCAGTCTCGTTCTACTTCTTCAATCGGTAATAAAATACAATAATCTTAATAAATTTAGAAAAAACTAAATAAAAGAATAACTTTATACTCACCATATTATTCTCTTTTGTGCCAAGTACCCATGGTGGGAAATTAGCCATCCTCATTTCTCTCGTCTCCATCTTAGCAATTCCATTAGCCAAAAAAACGTAACAGAGTAGCTCAGCAAAAATCCGTGTTAACAAAAATTTTGAATTATAATATTTATATATATTTTTTATTGGATGAAATTTGAATAGATAACTGTTTTATTTTATTTTATTGATGATGATTATAAAAACTAAATTTGTAACAGATTAGCAATTTTGAAACCATGCACAAAGAAAGTTCAATAGTGGTCAAACCGAGCATAGTTCAAGTGGTTAAAACACCTATCTCTGACCAAAAGGTTATGAGCTCGAATCCTCACTCGACATGTTGTACTAAAAAAAACAGAAAGTTCAATAGTGGGTTGTTCAAAATGCTTGCTTTTTAATATAGATAAAGAATAAAATAGAGGATTTTATATCCTCAACTTTGGTTCGTTTCAAGCTCGAATTTGTGTCTCAGGTGATTTGGCACATCAAGAAGGAAGAATAAAGAAAAGAGATATGAGTTCTGAGGTTTACCCTGAAATTTGGAACTAGTTCCGTAAGGAGGAAGAAAGTAGATGACTAGAAAACACGGACATTTATTTTTGGTGGAGTCTTTGTGTCGGACACGGATACGCCCGGACACACGTGTCAGACAAGCATTTTGGCATATCTGAATTAAAAAAAAAAAAAAAAGGGACACGGGCTGTACAAATTTGTGGGTTTTCTGGGCCGAAATAAAAAGGCCCAATGGCCATCAGTAATTAAAAAAAACCAAATAAATGATAAAAACTTAATAACAAAAACACACCACCGCTCTCCCACGAAGCCGACGCCGCTGCACGCGTTCTTCGCCGCCACCGCCGCACGCCCTTGCCGCCGCCGACGCCGCTGCTCACCCTTGCCGCTGCTCGCCCTTGCCGCCGCTGCTCTGCCGCCGCCGACGCCGGCGCTCGCCCCTGCCTCTGTTTTTCAATTTTTTTTCTTAGGTAAACTCTCCTGCCTCTGTTTTTCTTTTTTTTTTTCTTAGTTAAACTCTAATAAAAACAATATCTGTTCCAAGTTTTTAGGAATTGACGCCATGTCTTGTCGTGTCTCGTATCCGTGTCCGTGCTTCTTAGGTAGACAGTATGGATGCTGAAGCTAAGAGAAAGGCACTGTTTCGTTCTAAATTGAACGCTCAGAAGAAGGACAAGCGCATCGATTCTCCTCTCGTCAGGTAAATCTCTGTGATTATTGAGCTTCAAGGTCCTAAATGGATTTCCCTATTCCATTTTGTCCTTATATTTTTCTATTTCGGGCTTTGCTTTGTGTATTGTAGTAGACCATTTGGTTATTCACAGGAAGAAGTTATCTAATTGGAAGTTTTCTCTGATGGAAATGGAATATACAGTTCTTACATTAATCTTACATTTAGCATAGTATGAAGTTTTCCATGTAGTTTTCTTTCTACCTTGGTAAATTGTTCGGTTGTTCTTCCATTTTTGTAGTGTCCATCATTTTCTCTATTTTCTTTATTGAAGGGTGTCATAGAAATGTACGACAATGGCACTTGACACATAACTCCAGCTATAATCTAACCAGCCCATAATGGAGAAGATTATGCGGTTTCTTTAGTTGTTTTTCATATTGAGAAGTTTTATGAGTATAAGATTTCACTATTTAATCTGAGTTATTTTAACTTGAACAGGTATAATGAACTGGACCAACCTGTCTGTAGGGTTTGTGATATTGTCTTGAAATCAGAGGCGTACTGGGATGCACATCAGTCTTCTCGTAGACATCATGAGGTGATGTTTTGAAATCTTATTAAGAGATAAGGTTTTACTGGAATGCACATTGGTTTTTCTACATTGAAAAAGATAAGTGTCTACTGCTTGTAAAATGCATACACAATGTTGAAGCGATAACTATTTTTTTAGGATTCTAACGATGAACGATTGGATATTTAGTTACTGAAGTCAATGAATGATTATTTTAGCTACTTCTAGGTTTTCTCAATATAGGAAACAAAGAAACATATAAAAAACCAATACAAAAAGGGGGAGATGAGGGGTCTTCACAAGGACAATGTGCTACAAAAAGGATTTCTAGTCAACAGACATGCATAAGCTCATAATTTTAAAAATATTTTTTAGAGAGATCACCAAATGGAGAAATGTCTAGCTAGGTCCAAAAACTCGTAAGGAAAGATTCAATCCCTTTCACATGGCCCTTGGATTTATCCCGCACCACACTCTCCAAAGGATAGCCATCATACATTAGACCAAATAACTCTAGATTGCCCGTCGAACGGAGATTCTGTCATGAGCTGGATGAACATAGGCTACTTCGGAGAAGCACCAGCTTGTGCCAAAGATGCTAAAAAGCTTAGACCAACGAACAACAACAATAGGACATTCGAAGAAAAAGATGAAAATGATTCTCTAAATGTCTTTTGGACATGATGCACCAACTAGGGGAGGTTGAATAATTTGGCAACTTATTTTTGTATTCTATCCTATGTATTCTGCTTTTCTCGAATAAAAACACAAAATAAAACTTTCACCTCTCTAGGAACCTTTGCCTTCCAAATAGTTCTGAGTGGGAAGAGTCAAAAGGCGGCTGTAAGGTTGGTAATAAGATAGCTCATAGGGATAGCAAAACTTTGGAGAAGAATAATGGGACTTTCTTTGGGAATGGGTCGATGAAGGAAGGGGGCTCATATAGTCAAATGGGAGTTGGGGAGTTGGTGAGTAAGCCTTTGGAGAGGGAGGATAGGAATTGGAAACTAGAGATTGCGTAATGAAGCCTTGTTGGTAAAATGGTTATGACGCTTCCCGAGGGAGTCAAATTCTTTGTGGCATAGGATAATAGTGAGCAAGTGTGGTCCGCATCTCTAGTTAAATGGGTGGCCGGTGGGGGTTCTAAAGGTACTACCATAAATTCGCAGGTAGCCATCTCTATGGATTCCCTTGTTTTTGTTCATTTGTTCGTTGTTTGGTGGGGGATGGGAATGATACTTATTTTTGGGAGTATAGGTGTCTTGGGGATCATCCCTTCTGTTCCTTATTCCCTCACCTTTACCACCTTTCTTTCATGAGGGGTCGATCAGTGACGTCAATCCTGCCTTTTCTAGGAACAACTCTTCTTTGATTCTTGGTTTCCGTTGTCCTTTGTCCAATAAGGAGATGGTGGATTTCATGGCTTTGTTAGCCTTGTTGTTAATTCGAGGAGGGATTCTCGTCTTTGGTCCCTTAATCTTCTAGAAGGGTTTTCCTGCAAATCCTTCTTGTATCTGGTGGACCCCATCCTGCTCTATTTTTTCTTTGATGGAAGGTTAAGATTCCAAAGAAGATTTAGATTTTTTGCTTGGAAGGTCTTACATGCAAGGTTAATACTTTGGAACGCATGTTGAGGTGCTATTCTGTTATGAGCGGCCCCAATGCTATATTCTTTGTAGGGTG